CCCAAATAGGATGAAACGCACATTTTGGATTTCACTGTTAGCCACCATCCATCTCTGCTTAAAGAGATTATTGTTGTAGACCATAGGACTAATCAAGTTCTACCGATCAGGAAACTTAAGACAAGATCACTGCAATAATTAACACATTACAAATATGGACAGAAGCAAGTTATTCTCAGGGAGCCATGTAGTTATTCATATAACTTAACTACTGAAATCAACAAATGGCTTAAATGACCCATTTTCACTACCTATGAATATTTAACATCAGAAAAATAGCTTTAAATGAACAAAAAAAGAAATAATCGGAATCAAAGGACATCTGAACAATAATACACTAATTAAACTTACAATTTTATCAATATTGAATCGTTTATGCATACGTCTAGCGTTTACGCTAGTTCTGATAGATTCCCAATTGAATATAGGATCAGGAAAAAGAACCGGGCAAAAATGATTATCATCTTGATATAAAGTTGATCCACTAGGAGGATTGTCTTTAGCAGCATTAAGCTTTTCTAGAAATTCATTACTGTTCTCATTATTATTATTAGTAGTAGTCTGATTATATGATTGGACAGAATGATTCCATTGGTAGCGTAGTAAAATAAATGACTTCACAGGAAGTAATTTACTGATTTGACACCGATTTACAATTGATAACATGAAATTGTTAAAAAGCATAAGTTAATCTGTTTTAAAAAATAGAACAATACAAAGTTTTCAACCATAAGTAAATCTAAACAAGAAAACTAAATAATAAAATTAAACCAAGGAGACGGAAAACCCTACTCATATCTTATGATGTATAAAAACAATAATAAAAATAAGAGATCTACTCCTATTATGCTCTGCATACTTGAATTATGCATCCTAGATATTCACTAACCCTAAGATGAGATGAAAAATCCTAGCAATTTGACCAAGATGTGCTTACTTTTTTTTAGAAATTTTAACTTAATATGAAATTGTTTCAAAACGCACAATGTAACATTGTGATGTTTTCTAAAATCTCTTTAAACAAACATAGGATTGATTAATGGATTTTAGTATTGTAGTGTGGTCTACTTATATCCATATAAGTAGTACATGGTGACGGTCAGGCATTGAATGTATATTGGCAGAAGACCGATAAGGAAAGAACTGAAATGAAGCGCAATCGGTAGGAAAATGCATGAACAACGGAATTAGAGAAGATGGACTGATATCTACAGAAGAAACAATGAAGATTGAGACAATTGATTGTTATTTTGCAAATTAACTGTTTGCTGTATGGTTATCAGAATTTAGTGAGATAGTCTGTAATTCTTGCCTAATTACATTCGATTGTCCCCAACCAGTGTATTGTTCACTACAGTATATCTGTCGCAACATATCCATTATTAGAAGTATCGGTACTAAAAAGAGAAAAACATGATAGGATTGATACGTAGCTAATTGAGTACCCTAGTGATAGTTCGTTCACACTATTCGCATAAAAATATTGAATTAACACAAACAAAAGTAGACAAAAACCACTGAATTGATACACAATGTACAAAATTGAGTGTGATAGCATCAAAAACCCATAATGTAAACATCGATGATAGAAGATCAATGCTATCCTATTTAACAGTTGAACAATTAGAAAATATAAATTCTACCAAAATAAACCACTAGAAAACTGATATCATCCTACTATTTAGATTGAAACTGGAAATCTTTCAATTAGCAGTACTTTGCTATCAACCATTAAAAAATTAATAAATCATGTAGATAGTAGATCTATAGTAACACTATAATTTTCCTCTTATGAAAAAATAGTGATCAAACATAAACTATATAAAACTTCAGTTGGTTGATTAGGAAGTAACTTGTTTAGTTAGAACTTATGTGATAAAAGAAAAAATATAAATTCGTATCCATCTCTTCACATTTGTTTATGAATCTTGAGAAGTGAAAATATTATCGCATCAACTTCTGTTTTTCATTACAATCATTTAATGAGCCTCTTGCTTAAACCATGTTCGTATGAATTAGTTCATACGTTAAAATCTACACATTCTTTTTACATATGGAACTAAGCTTTAGGAGTGAATAGTGAGATTTTCATCCACATCCATGTGTAAAAAACAGAAGCTCAGTTTTTAAGTCTATATCGAGATAGTATACGTGTCCATTTTTTTCAATTTTCAATATGTATGTGGAATAAAACATTCTCGGGCATTTCGCCTTCCATTTAGTGAACGAGTGTTATATATAAAAGTACAACTTCCACTGAGGATTCCATTTCAAGCCCCAACATTCACTTCATTGGCTTTTTCATCTACGTAAGTGGATTTAGATTAGTTAAATGAAATCCTCAAGGAGAATTATACTCTTATATGCACCACTCACTAATTAAATGAAGGGAAAAATAGTCGAAAACTTTAGATATTGGAATTCTAGTGAACATTAAGAAAAGGATGGATGACCTCACACGTTTGTTCAAAGCTACAATTTCCAGAAATCGAAATAAACACACAACTCAGTCAAAAATCGGTAGCATATTTCTCAAATTAAAAACTTAAAAAGAACAATCACAATAAATATTGTCAGGATCATTTGTGTACAAATAACTTGATTGTTTCTAGAAAAAAAAACAGATATGTGAGCAGGGAATATTCTTTTCAACAAATTCTCTTCAGATTCTAGTTATTTATCCAAACTTAGAATTTCAAAAGTGGCGAGGATTAAGGCAAATACATCATTTAAAATCTTAGAATGTGAATTTAAGACTATAAGCAGATATGAAGGGCGGTTAGAAGTGGAATCCAGGAAGTGCATTCCGTCCGACTGGAAACTTGTCAGCTAAATTTACCTCCATCCCAAAAATGACGTCTACCCCGAGACTCCAGCCCAGTACCATTCGCTCCAAACAACCAACACAAACACGACGTTCGAATTGATACATAGTGACTATCAGCGGAATCCAGGACGCGCGTTTCGTCCTATTTGGGACTCGTCAGGTGTACGTACCTGCATCTCAGAGTTGATGTTCATTCTGGGACTCGAACCCAGTACTGTTCGCATCAAACGCCATCGCGTTATCCACTTAGCTATTGAGTCCTGATGGCTAACTGTTTAAGCAATGGGGTGAAGTTTAAATTCACTTGGTGTTGCTTACTTGTATCTTCCCATTGTTATTTAGGACCGCGATTGATCAGTCTCTTGTTAGCATATGTGCATCCTGTGCGGACTTCAGGCAATATCGAGGCAGTCCGCACAGGATGCACATATGCTAACAAGAGACTGATCAATCGTGGTCCTAAATAACAATGGAAAGATACAAATAAACAACACCAAGTGACTTTCGGATTGTTTGTAAAATAACATGAAATTGTTGAAGTTAATATGTAATATTAAGTTTATGCGTAGAACGAAATTGTGCGATTCGTAATCAGGACAGATAACACAGGGTCATGGAGAAATAATAGTCCAAATACAAATCAAAATAAATATGTCGTCAAGGATTACGTAACACACAGAATGTGAATCGGATAAGAGATAATAAACAGGGATGAGTGCCTTAAACTTGAACACTGGATTATCAACATGGATATATAACGGTAGAACCTAAAGAAAATTTAGTGAAAATAATATTCTTCGTCCAATATTTGTTTTTATTATGCTGGAAATTTTTTAACTTGATATAAATTAACATGTGAACTACACAGCAAATAGACTAAGCATCTAATCACCAGAACTAGATGAAGTCATAATCATAACTCATTTTTATTTTTGTTCCGTTAAGCAAAAGGTTTTGAGAGTATCTTAGGGGAGAATCCATCGGTTTAAATACAAATCAACACGAAAAATGTGACTACGTCGAACTGGAGTGAAACAAGAACGTCCGCAGAAATAGCCTTTCAAGACGGTGATAGATATCCCACAGGTAAACTGAATACAGCTGGTAAAATTGCTTCATATCTCTCTTCCTTCCTGTACTATATCCTTATATACAACCTTTCTTGATATACTACCACCACTAAATTAATTACTTCTATGAATCCGGTGTTCGTCTTGTTGTGCTAACGAGATATGGCAACTTGGACCGATGCATATATGTGCCTGGTCCTACGTTGTAGCTGACTGACTGACTGGTATGCATCAAAATTAAACCATGATAACCGAAAAGCACTAAATGAGATATTAAGTCACTCGGTCTAGCAGTCTAACTGTAACTTGATCCGCACCAAGAATTAGACGACATGATGTTGGCTAACACTCTCTGATCTATTAGTGTGAATACCTCAAGCTTACAAATCGTTGACATTCACTCCGGGACTCCAACCCGGTACCGCTTCCTTCAAACACTATCGCGTTGTGCACTTAGCTACTGAGTCCAGATAGCCACTGGCTTGTGCAATGAAGCGAAGTCTCCGAGTGCACATCGACTCTGGGATGGAAGTAAATGCAGTTGACGAGTCCTAAATAAAAAAACGCATATCCTCGATTCCACTTCTAGCCACCATTCGTCTCTGCTTATAATGCTTGTGATCTAAGGAAATATGGGGGCAATCAACACAGGATGCACATATACCAACAAGAGACTGATCAATTGCAGTACCAAACATCAATGGGAAGATTCCAACAACCAGTATAAAAATGAATTTTAAACGTTTTATTATTCACCATTTGACCTATCAAACTAGATACAACAATCGTCTTTTCCCAATTACTGATGAACTATAGGTCCAAATACAAAGGGTAATTTTTGGAGATATGTTAGTGTTTCATTAAAAACGGATATCAGCTAGAAAACTATTGAAAACCTGGGAGGATTATACAACCTCTTCATTCCTAAATAGCTCAAAACAACTCTTCAGACACTATGAAATTTCATTGTAATTCATCATGAAAACTACATATACTCTACTAAAATGATTCAGTAAAATACAACTGATTAACTGAAAGACAAATAAATTAAAACAATTATACAGATTACCTCACAGTGAATTTTTTCTGAAAAAAAAAAGTTTCATGATCCAAAAAATTTATTTATCAATTATTTAGATAAAAAATAGTCAAATGTACAAGGACTGAAAAAATTTTGTAGAAGTTTAATTTTTAGGATGCAAGTTAGGTAGATAATAGTTTTCTTTCATGTTCTTTCATGTTCATCTAAATAACGATAGACTCGACGAAGTTTTTCTTTGCATTTTTTATGTCTTGTTATATGTTTTACAGCCTCTGTTTGGTTTGATACTATTGTTGAATGTACTGAATTCAAGCGTTTAGCGTGACTTAATAGACGCCAAGGTTTTTTGACTGCACCATCTTCTAAGACAAATTGTGTTGTCCCACTACTAATACATGACAAATTGCTAACAGTCTCAACTGAGCCAACAGTACTCCAAGATGCATTCGATGATACTTCATCATCGATCTTTGACTTTTCTATATTGGAACGTAAAATAGGTATTTGCTTATGAGATTTAATAAGCTCGCGTGCATGCTGCTCCTTTACGAAGAGAAAAATGTCAAAATACAAGAACATATTATTTAAATGGCAAAATAATTAGTGTATAAATCAATAGCTTCAGAATAAGGATTTAACTTTCATTAGAGATAACAAAAATTGCCATGTTCAATCTTTTTTTCTAGTTTACTTGCATTTGTACACTTGATTTAAAGATGTTAAAAAGTCACAGAGCAATTACCACTGTCTTTGATTCTAGCATATACTTAATAAACTCTAAAACTGCGAGGTCACCTAGTTTTCCCGAAATCATTTACAAAGTTGTATCAAGTTAACGATTGGTGAGCTAACACAACCAATCTTTATCCTTACCGATCGACCCACCTGTCTACATTTTTCTACGTAGCACCAGAAACTAGACACATTAAACACTTAGGTTTTGGTCACTGGATCAACGCTTACTGAGTACATTTCTTATGAAGGTTAGAAAAGTTTCGAAAACAAGCAAGTGCAATAAACTATCACTAAAACGATGACATTGAAAAAATAACCTCCTATGTTATTCCCGACCAACCCAATCACACTTGATGGAGAAAATCTGAAAGAGGTGGAAACTTACACATCTGGACAGCATCATCGACAAATAAGAATGATCTAATGCAAATTTGAAGAGACGGATTGGAAACTTAAGGTCACCACTTCTACAACTGAAGCGTATCCGCAACTCAAAACAATTGTCAGCCTACATCGAATTCACAATCTTCAATACGAACGTCAAGAGAGTTCTATTGTGCAAAGTTGAAACTTCTAAAACTACTACAACCATTATCAAAAAAGTAAAAATATTTATAAACAATTGTCTACATAAGATACTCAACGTCTGTTGGTCGGATGCCATCAGCAACAATCCACTGTGGCAGAGAGCAAACCAACTTCCATCTGAACAAGAAATTAGGAAAAGACACTTGAGGTGGATAGGACATATATTGCGGAAATCATCAAACTGCATCACGAGGCAAGCCCTAACTTGGAATTTTAAGAAGCAGAGGAAAAGAGGAAGGCCAGCGATCACACTGCGTAGGGGACTGGAAACAAACATGAAAAGAATGAATAGCAATCGGAAATAACTGGAAGGGCGAGCCCATAACAGAGTTGGTTGGAGGGTCTTGGTGGTAAGTAGACTATTGCCAAAGATGTAAATTTGGATTTAAATAGTACTGTGGTGTGGGTTACTTATATCCACATAAGTAGTATATGGTGACGGTCAGGCATTGAATGTATTTCAGCAGAAGATCGATAAGGAAAGAAGGGGAACGGAACGCAATCGGTAGGAAAATGCATGAACAATGAAATCAAAGACTATGGACTGATATTTGCAGAAGGAAGAGTTAAGATTGAGACAATTGATTGCTAGTTTTCAAATTGACTGTTTAGTGCATAGTTACCAGATTTTAGTGAGATAGTCTGTAATTTTGTGCTCAAATACATTCGACTGTCCCCACTTGTCTTTTTGTTCACTGTAGTACTAGCTTGGTGAATTCACTAAATTAAACAGCTTCTACACAAATTAGGATCACAAGTCACAGACAATATAAGTAAGAAGCTTGTAAAATGATTATTTGTTGGATATAAACCCCTTGAAAATACACTGGTTTGAATCGAGAACACAACATACTATTATATCCGTATTCCGTTAAATATTCAGGAAATAGTCTATATTACTTTGTGATTTTATTCTTGAAAATCGGGACTTCTGTTTATACACTACAAATATTTCCACACGAAAAGTATTTTTGCCGACATCAAAGACGTTTCTATCCCATTTTTGATTACTCTGTTATTAAGCTAATTTCTTAATTAACTTACGAGAGCATTGTAAACATGTTTAAAAGCACCGGCCATCTGCTCATTATCATCTTAAATAGTTACCTCAATAAATATTATAAGTACTGTTTATCTTCTAGATTATATGGAGCTAGGAGAATAAGATGCTGCATATGTCCAATGTTTAATGAATAGACGTTATGACTGATTCACTCCATAGATGTTGTTTCAATACTATACAATGTTTCAGCTTAAACTGATAGCTATAAAATGTGTTTCTCATGCTCTAAGTTGAACAAAGCATTCGAAAACACTAACGCTTGAGCATGACATGAAGCAATTAGTATACATATTTAAACAAACCTGTTTAAACGCTAATCGATCAAAATCAGTGATAACTTCATCAATAGATTGACTGGATGCTCGTTTCTGTTTTTCATCTAATCGTTTAAGAAACCGTTCAGCTTTGGATTGATCAGGAAAATAACCAACCCCGCAAGGTAAACCATCATCTCGCCCAAGTGATTGAAAATCAAGAGGATCAGTTGTGTTTGGAGGAGGATGACAGTACAAAAGTCGACCCTGTTTATAAGAGTAAAATGAAACAAATAATTTATAGTTTAATTACGCCGTAGGTATTAAGGTTAGATAATTATCTGTAGGATAGTATTCACTCACTATTATTATTATTACTATCATTTTTATTCTTGCAACTATCACACACAACTCACAACTGTTTACTGTGATTATTATTTGTTCACTATATTGACTGTATAGATCATACATCTTTTTTGCAATTACCAAAAACAACAAATATATTAGTTAAATTACTTGACTTCCAAAAAAACTAAGATTCAGGTTTACACACGCTGGTTCACATAGTTAGATGTAGGCAAACAAATAACACCAATAGTTCCCAATACAAAATGTATGATCCGAAGATTCAATGTACATGAGCCTATACCTGCTCGTCAATTTGTCTTAAATTAAGTTTTCATTCTTCACAGATAAATAATAGATTAATATAGTGTAGAATACATAAGAATGGAGTTTCAGAGTAAACGATGAAGTTGACTATAAAACTCTAATAGAATGGTTACTTTCATTTCATAACATTTAAGATTCACCACATATACACCACATATAAATACATTAGAAAGGAAGTGTGATAGGTTGCTTTTCTTAATCATCTTATAATGAGTAAAATAAATCTAGAAAATACGAATGACCGACTTACTTTTACATAATCTTTTAAAATGATTCTTGCAGAACGATCATAATTTGGATTCCCTTTAGCTGTCATAAAACCATGCATAACTAAAAGAACGAAAGGAAAACAAGGATATAAACAAATAGGCTTTTCTAGACATGAAGGGATATTTCCGATTCAAATACTGAGATTTTTAGTTAATATACATGTTACAAGTTTGAAACCCGTTTATCTAGTTCAGTTTGTAAAGTATGTCTACACATAATACGATAAATCTGACTGTAAGCTTAGTTGCATCAACATTTGTACGTAATTTTTGAACTGCAAATTAAAAATGAACGGACAGTGTAAATGAAACACATGCAATATTATGACGGAAAATTATTAAACTTATGAAGAAACTAACATGCATGAGCAGCCAATAATTCATGTGGTGTCAGGATGCGATTTAAACCATCTTTTACTTGTGTATTTTGGAATTTAGGAAGGTTGATTCCATACATTGTCTCCAAAATGTGACGTGGAATTCTTTCACAAACCTTAAATGTGAAAAACACAGAAAGGTTTTATGTTAATCAATATAGAGATTAGTGAAATTCTTGCAATGCAAAAAGAAAGTTTATGAACTACCATATATATATATATATTTGAATAAGATTAACAGGCAATTATTTGCAGCTTGTGGGGATAATATGACTTAATATTACAAAACCATTGACGTGAATCGGTTAGAAGATTCGATAGCCCACAATTAGTGAGTCTATGTAACACGATATTTTCAGCCATTAGGTACTAGCGATTGTAAACATACAAAATGGATGTAAAACAAAGTTATTGGCTATAAGCAATGCTAATTATAGAGAAAATTGAGTGAATATCTGTATGACTATTTGATATGTCATTGGAATAGGTTATTAGGAACACTGATTATATGGATACGAAAGGTTTACACATTGTTAAAGAGACCTTAAGATGAAGATATTTGAATAAACTACATTTTTGAACTACTTCAAATCAGTATGACGATTGTGTAGTATACTAGTGGAAGTAGCACCAAAGTATGAAAAAAGGAAATCCAGTTTTAACTCTAACATTTTAAGCAACAGACAAATTAGAACTTAACACGAGAAAAGTACGTGAGATAAATGAAAAAATTTACAAAGTACTAACCACTTCCTATTTGTAAGACTAATCTAGTGAAAAAAACACTGGTTGGGGACAATCGAATGCATTTAAGCAAAAATTACAGACTATCTCAGTAAATTCTGAAAACCACACAATGGACAGTCAATTTCCAAATTAACAATCAATAGTCTCGATCTTCACTGTTTCTTCTCTAATTCCATTGTTCGTGCATTTTCCTATCGATTGCGCTTCGTTTAAGTTCTTTCCTCATCGGTCTTCTGCCAAAATACATTCAATGTCTGACAACACCATATACTACTTATATGGATATAAGTAGACCACACCACACTCGTCCCCCATTTAAAGCATTCGTTCATGCGGTGGTTCTGCTCGCCACGCCACTATCTTGTTTCAATGCAGTCTGTGCCAAACTCCCGAACTCTCCATCAGAATGTCGAGTCTGCGGAGCGCTGACCTCCATAGCTCCGTCGACCTGCCTGGGCAACAACATCCGCATCCACCCGGTACCTGGGACGTTCAACACCCATACTCCACCGGCCTGCTGAGCCATCTACATCTGATGTCCGCCCAGCAGCCGCACGTCCCACTAATACTCCCTATGGAATCTATGGACGCTTTGGTGTACACATACAAAGTGTTTTCAATTTGTATTACCAACAGAATATGAGTGAGAAATCGAAAACACATTGGATGTGTTAAAACGAAACCTGAGTACAAAGCTAACATGACTACAAGTTATACAAAATTATGACGCAATTTTCAATTGTAGTTCACCATGTTTTTACAACCTAGTATGTGAATATGTACATGTTTGATAGAACATGTCACACTTAATAGCACTAATTAATCCCGATCTTTTACCGACGATTGTGTTATTTTGGAATTTATCTTGTTAAGGCGTTTGAAAATTCGATGAATTTAATTGATATAAAACACTGATTTTGTCAATCTTGTCATGTGAACTTCAATGAGAAAACCAGCTATGAACAAAATTTTTTAAAAAACGATTTACTTTCGCGAACGGCAACACATTTTATCATCTTAAAACTACAGCATCATTCTTTGATACAAAATAAGTTAAATTTAAGTAATTGCCTGAATACTGACTTTTTTTATTATATTTATCATTATCTTACACAAAAAACATCATGGAATTTGGCAAAAATGTGCAACAGTTTGAGTCGGTATACTTAATATTAGCACATCTAGAGCATACCGACAAAAGAAAAATCAAAGGAGAGAAAATAATGACGACATTAAATAACTAAAGAATTAAAAAAAATGGTGAAATCTGATATGAAAGTTTTGAAATAATGAAATGACTGCGGTAAAGAAGATATACATATTCTCTGCAGTAATGGCTTACAGTGAGTCACAAGACGTTAGGAAATTAAATTTTCCACTAATTGAGATATTAACTCCGCCTGTAGCTCTTCTAGAGTTACTGCCGGTCCCAAGCCCGGGTAAAGGAGGAGGGTTGGGCATGGGGTTAGCGACCCCATCCCGTAGAAAAGCTAACTCGCTAAAAAAACGCTAACCAGAAAAAATAATCCAAACCATTTAAACTCTGTCCTGGGAGTTGAAGGAATAATGACGTCTCATGATGAAAGCCGAAATTCTTCGGAAGTCACGAGACCGATGCACCTTCTAACAACCAGAGCAACACTCTTTATAGGTACATGGAACGTCCGGACAATGTGGGAAACAGGAAAGACCAGCCAAATAGCAATGGAAATGAGGAGATACAACTTGGCAGTACTCGGAATCAGCGAAACCCATTGGACACAAACTGGACAACAAAGGCTAGGTACAGGAGAGATGCTGCTGTACTCCGGTCACGAAGGGGAAAATGCGCCACACACTCAGGGAGTTGCTCTAATGCTGTCCAGAGAAGCACGAAATGCACTTGTAGGATGGGAATCTCATGGACCCAGGATAATCAAAGCATCATTCAGAACAAAGAAGCAAGGGATCACAATGAATGTTATCCAATGTTATGCACCCACCAATGATAGCAACGACGATGATAAAGATCAGTTCTATGAAAGGCTGCAATCAATTATAGCAAAGTGCTCACGAAAGGACCTCACCATCCTTATGGGAGATCTAAATGCTAAAGTTGGAGTGGACAACACAGGATATGAAGATGTAATTGGACGACATGGACTAGGAGAGAGAAATGAAAATGGGGAGAGACTTGCAAACCTATGTGCTTTCAACAAATTGGTTATAGGCGGCACAATATTTCCACACAAACGCATACACACAGCTACATGGATCTCACCGGACCACACCACAGAGAACCAGATTGATCACATCTGTATCAACAAAAAATTTCGAAGATCAATGGAAGATGTGAGAACCCGGAGAGGAGCTGACATAGCTTCAGATCACCACCTGGTTGTGGTCAAGATGAGACTGAAGCTAAAGAAAGACTGGACAACTGGACAAACAGCACTACAAAGGTTTAATACAGCCTTCCTTCGAGATACTGACAAACTCCCAGAATTCAAGATAACTCTCAACAATAGGTTCCAAGCTCTACAGGATCTACTGGATGGACAAGAAACTACTTTGGAGGACAGCTGGAAAGGGATAAAAGAAGCACTAACTTCAACGTGTCAGGAGGTTCTTGGTCCTAAGAAGCACCATCACAAGGAATGGATCTCTATGGGGACCCTGGACAAACTTCAAGAAAGGAAGAACAAGAGACTAGCAATTAACAACAGCCGAACACGAGCAGAGAAAGTCAAAGCACAAGCAGACTACGCAGAAGCAAACAGAGAAGTGAAGAAAAGCATTAAAGCCGACAAGCAGAAATACATGGGAGAACTAGCAACGGCGGCGGAAAAAGCTGCAAGAGAAGGGAATATGAAACAACTATATGATACAACGAAGAAATTGGCAGGGAGATATAGCAAACCAGAGAGACCAGTCAAAGACAAAGAAGGAAAGACAATCACTGAGATTCAGGAACAGAGGAAAAGATGGGCAGAATACTTTGAGGAACTGCTGAATAGACCAGCCCCATCGAATCCACCGAACATCGAAGCAGCCCACACTGACCTTCCAATAGATGTCACTCCACCAACGATCGAAGAAGTCAAGATGGCCATCAGACAAATCAAAAGTGGGAAGGCGGCAGGACCTGACAATATACCAGCAGAAGCACTGAAGTCAGACATTGAAATAACTGCAAACATGCTTCACCTTCTATTCAAAAAGATTTGGGAAGAGGAACAAGTGCCAACGGACTGGAAAGAAGGATATCTCATCAAGATACCAAAGAAAGGAGATCTGAGCCAATGTGAGAACTACAGAGGCATCAGTTTGTTATCAGTACCAGGAAAAGTTTTCAACAGAGTGCTGCTGAATCGGATGAAAGACGCAGTAGACGCCGAACTTAGGGATCATCAGGCTGGATTCCGTAAGGATCGGTCGTGCACAGACCAGATTGCGACACTACGGATCATCGTTGAACAATCAGTTGAGTGGAACTCATCACTATACGTCAACTTCATCGACTATGAGAAGGCGTTTGACAGCGTGGACAGGAGAACATTATGGAAACTTCTTCGACACTATGGAGTTCCTCAGAAGATCGTCAACATTATCCAAAACTCATACGATGGATTACAGTGCAAAGTGGTGCATGGAGGACAGCTGACAGATGCATTTCCAGTAAGGACCGGAGTCAGACAAGGCTGTCTACTCTCCCCATTCCTCTTCCTTCTAGTGATTGACTGGATTATGACGAATTCGACATCTGAAGGGAAATACGGAATACAATGGACTTCTCAGAATCAATTAGATGATTTGGACTTCGCAGATGACCTAGCCCTCCTCTCTCATACACACGAATAAATACAGACGAAGACAACCAATGTAGCAGCAGCCTCCGCATCGATAGGCCTCCACATTCACAAAGGAAAAAGCAAGATTCTCAAATGCAACACGGAGAACACCGACCCAATCACACTTGATGGCGAAACTCTGGAAGAGGTGGAAACATTCAAGTACCTGGGGAGCATCGTTGATAAACAAGGAGGATCGGATGCAGATGTAAAGGCAAGGATTGGCAAAGCAAGGGCAGCATTTCTACAATTGCAGAACATATGGAACTCAAAACAACTCTCAACCAATTTCAAGGTCAGAATCTTTAATACGAACGTCAAGACAGTCCTACTGTATGGAGCTGAAACGTGGAGAACTACTACGACCATCATCAGGAAGGTACAAGTATTTATAAACAGTTGTCTACGCAAAATACTCAACATCCATTGGCCGGATACTATCAGCAACAGCGTTTTATGGGAGAGGACAAACCAGCTTCCAGCTGAAGAGGAAATAAGGAAAAGACGTTGGAAGTGGATCGGACATACATTAAGGAAATCACCAATGTGCATCACGACTCAATCCCTAACTTGGAATCCGGAAGGGAAGCGGAAAAGAGGAAGGCCAAAGAACACACTACGCCGGGAAATAGAAGCCGATATGAAAAGGATGAATGTTGACTGGAAAGAACTGGAAAGGAAGGCTCAGGACAGAGTTGGATGGAGAATGCTGGTGAGCGGCCTATGCTCCTCGACGAGGGGTAACAGGCGTAAGTAAGTAAGTAAGTAATTGAGATATTAAAAGTATATCGTTTTTATTATTGAGGTAAACATTGACTAACTTTTGCTGTAACCTATGTTATGTTACAAAAAATTACCGACCACAAGTTTCGGTAATCTAGCCTAATGTAAGTAAAAATGTTAATCTTCTTGACCCGACTCCAATAGTCAATTAAAGGTTTCAGAGACAAATAGGATGTCTTCAACTCATCAACTCTGACGTGCTCCACCAACTCCTATACTAACTGATTTGTGATAGTCAATAATGAGTGAAACATCATGACCACCTCAGATGATTAAGTTTCACAGACTTATTAATAGATATAATACCTTTATGTATTATCATATGGACAACCAACGAGTTATGTCCATAACTAACCAATCAAATCGTTGTTTAAGAGCCCATCACATCAATCTGGTCTGATGTGTCTATAGACTATCCCTGTTGCATGTGACCTGCCAGTTGAGTGACATTATTACCCTATTATATTAGTGTGACTCACAATTTTAATTCATTTCGATAAGACTCGAAATACTATTCGGTATGTTTGTGCGTTTCACTTAACGACTGTAATTCCCTTAATTATTGTACTAATTTGGTCGTTTTTACGTTAGGAAACAGATAAAGTTTAAAGCCAAGTTTTCCTTGTTCTGACTATAGCTTTCACATAGACTCTGGGATCGCCAGTATCGCGTTTACAGTTCTAGTAGTATATCTGTAGGACAAATTAAATCCTACATATACTACAAGTTATGAGGATTTAAATGTCTTCAAGTGACGGATAATAATTGTATCACAGAACACTTTTAATGGAGCTGAGTCCTCTAAGCTGGATGGTTTATTCCGATTCTATGATCCCTAAGGAAAATATTACCAGCTTCCACCTTTATTGAGCTATTTTCTATTCGTTGTTGATGTCCAGGACTGAACTAATTGGAATCCCTACAAGGAATATTAACACTGGGATCTCAGTATATTCATTTAATGAGTTCAAAATAATATGCAACCCACATCTCGAATTCTGCCAAACGAAGTACAATCTCATGCTACAATAAGAACAATGTGAAATCATATTCTTTGAATATGGCATGATATATAGAAAGTTCACTTACTAAACCAACAGGAGCTATATAATCACGCATCCCATCGATTGATAATATACCAGCTACAACTAAGTCTGCTCTAGAATAGGCAAAAGATGGCATTACCAATCCCGGGCAATCACAAAGTATCAAGTCTGATCGGACATAAATGGTCTAAAAGCCAAGAAAAGAAAATAATTCATTAATAACATCAAAATAACAAGAAATTTTTTAGTCACTGCGGACAAAAATGAGCATAAAACATCTACCTGGAAATGTTTGGTTTTCCCAGGTGTAACTGACACTGGAACCTTTTTATGACCTAGTATCGCGTTGAGTGTACTAGATTTCCCGACGTTTGGGTAACCAATGAAGCCAACAGTCAAAGGATCTTTTGATTGACGACCGGATGGACTATATTTTTCAGTTAATAAATTTATCAGCTCCTCAACGCCAACAAGCTTAGCTTCCGCCTCACCATTTTGTCTGCTTAGTAGAAAAAATAAAGATGAGATTACAAACAGAACAGGTCTTTAACAAGATTGTCTCAGATGTACACTGTGAACTAGACTCTTTAGATAAAACTATAAACTGGTTTACAAAAGAGTACTAAATTCCAATTTTCGTGTAGACAATAGAAATAAAATACGTTTAAATAATTAGTGAGATAAGGAGAGATAATTACAGTTTGAAGTAACCTGAGTTGAAGGCAGACACCAGCCTGAGACTAGTGGATTATAAGTTTCTGTCAGATAAGCTATTGAGTACTATGCCAACTTATTATTTGGGTGAAGATAAGCATCATAGTAGCTCTCAAACTACAGCTCCTGAATATCTAACTGGTAGAAGAATGAACCAACGGTTTTGTGGTATATAGTCATCGTCTTCTCGTGACTTTCTATAATGCTAAAGTTTGCCAGATGGATTTATAGCACGTGATCTGATTTCATAGAAGACTAAAACTATCACTTACAAGTGACGCAATAATAGAAAATCATGAACATATTATGTTCACTGATTAGTTTACTTGAAAGATGTTTCGTACAGCATAAGGACGATGTACATTACAAATCAAATGACTCGACAATATTACGGTAATACAAAGAAGAGGAAAGACAATAAACAATATAGATGATAGGAAACGTGACAACAGTATGAACGCTATTAACTATGATCCATAGAATGACTGAACTATACCCTAACTTACCCGACTAAACAAAATCTACAATAGATGAAAATGTCCAAACTCATTTATACCACCACTTAATAAAGTCACCCAGACACATGCATGCGTCTGTCCACTTAATAAAACTAACAGCTCCTTTGTCTATTTATATCAGTGCCAAAATAGGAAACTGTTTAATATGAAAATAGCGTAGGTATTTGATTCAAGAGAAGAGGCAAAGTAGAAGGAAGTTATGCTGGTGAACAGTGGATATAACTGTGTTTCAGGAAAAATATGACGAGATCTCATTTTGAACCACTTTGAGAGAAATTCGGAATTAATACGACACACTGAACGATAGACTAAATGTTACCTATGTATACAAATCGCATATAATTTTGAATAAATTGAGCATTGGGTGGATTGTTATAAATAAATTAATATATTTGTAACATTGCAATGAGTAGAAAAATTAGATTTATTCATTTATTATTATTATTATTTATTTATTCTCTGAAGAAGTGGCTTACACTAAGTCACGAAACGTCCGAAAATCTAATTTTTCTACTCATTGGGATATTACAAATATATTAATTTATTTATATAGCATATAATTTGTACTTTAAAATATTGAATATTAAATTAACCTTAGATCATTAACATTTTTAGCTTTGAATTATTTTCGCTTCCACAACTTTAACGTAGCTTTTCAGAAATAAGTGAAATCAATTTCCTTAATTTTAAATTACCCAGTAAGGAACTAATGTGTCGCAAGTGAGAACAATAAAAGAAATAGAATGTACCATATAATAGCTACATAAACATAGTTTATGCATAGACGTTTTTACATCCCAGTGGCTAACGTACTTGGATTGGATAGATGTTTCAGCATCAATAACATCGCGCCCAACAGAATGGGAGAACTCTGAAATCGGTTCACTGATTTCTTTTGTATTCAATGTACCATCACAAGGACCACTTTTTTTACAACTCAGTCTATTCGGAAACTGTGTAGTATACCTGACAACCTTAGGACTTTCTTCGTTACTTTCTTCATGAATAGTTACTGTACTAGCCTCGCTATCAGTATCTGAGTCTGTTTGACTTTCCTCAGAATTACACTCGGATTCCAAACTGATTTCACTAATTGTTTTAGTTGAAATATCACAAGCTTGGGTAATATTGGTAGAACTTTGTCGCAGCATCTGTTCACTGGCTAGAACAGCCGACCAAAATATGGCATTAATACCAATAGTTTTAAAATACTCCGCCCATAAAACTCTGTAATAAAATTAAAAAGAAGCATTGAGAATCCTAAGTGAACACATTCAAAGCAGGAATAGTTTATTCACTACAGAAAAACAGTACCAGAAGATGCATAAACACGAGATAACAACTGTACACTGCGTCTGTTATTGCAAATTAAAGCAATGCTTACGTTATTGTTAGCGATGATACATTTGTGATACATAGATCGTAGTATTCTATGTGCCTAGAAAGAAAGCGAATTCTGTCATCATGTGAAGTAATTAACAAAATAAGTCCTTTTAAACTTAGTAGTGCATTAGCGCAATCAGTCTGGGCACCTGGGCAGTATCACAGCCCTCACACAAATCGAATGAAATTTGTGAGGCGCATATTTATCTGGTGCTTCATTGTACCAATTTTTATGTGTTTAAATAAATAAATAAATAAGCAATAACAATGTGCCTTTTTCAATAGACCAATGTTTGAAGCACTGGTATCCACATTTATTCATTTATTTATTTGATCACATAAATATTGGTACAAAGGGGCACCAAATATATATGCGCCACACAAGTCACTTGATTTGTGTGTGGGCTGTGATATCCTCCGGATGCGCAGACCGAAGCAGGTGGTCTTCTTAGGGGGCCACACCCCAAGCCTTCAACCTAAAATTCTGATTTACAGGGCAGTGGAGCAACGTAAGGAGATGCAGTCCCATAGTAGCCGGTGATTAACAATTGGTTCATACGCCGTTTGTTCCCTCAGGGTACTGGAGCCTATGTGCACCGTTGGTTTGGAATCAGGGTTTTCCAACTACCCTAGGTGGATCCACTATATTCACCAACCCGGTTAAAGCACCAGATATTCACTCTTCATTCTCTCAATTTCGCAACAAAACCCCCACCGCGAGAAGGCAATGAATAGGACTTTTTTGGCAATGGCTGTATACGCGCGGCCATGTGTGGGCATTTTTAGAGAGAGAGCTGACTCTATCACCCTCGGCCGTACCAGGGCATTTGGGGGCCACATACTGCAGTACAGTTGAAAAGCGATCCCAGAAACTTAGTGAGTTTATCAATTAAGCTTTCAGTGATATCCAAATCAAATAACTCAAACGTTTCCTACAAATACCAAAGATCAATAAGATAACAAAAGAAAGCATAGCATACCACTTAACTTACACAACAACTCATCTGGTTTAAATGTGAATCGTAGATTTGAGTGAGATGACATTAAATGATTAATTACAATACAAAAATGTAGGATAGTAGAAATTCAAGACAAGCCATATTTGAGGTTATTGCTATAGAACAACCTTTGAAAAGGTAATAAATCAGATTAGTTTTTCTGCATTGTAAATCGATAGAATTACACACCATTTTTTTAAAAAGAGAACGAATATACCACAAGTTGCCGTGTAAAGTCCCTATTACTTGTAGTCTTATTATCTAGCATTTATAAATTCCAACACTCAACTCATCTAATAGTTTTCTTGGATATATTATTATTTAACGATAGGAAAAATTAGACGTCAAGTGTTCGAAAAGTATAATTAATAAAAGCTTTGTTTAAGCACTATTTATACTTGGAAGATATCTTGTCTGTAAATATTAAATACATTCCACTAATAAAATTCACTTGAATTTTATTAATAACAATCAAAAGATCAGATAATGCAGATGAACTAAATAAATCTTAAAAATTTTAATTACTGCCAATTTTTACCAATAAACGACCCAAAACACAAAGGATAAGCTCACCTTTGTTTATTTGTGAGAAAGTCAGACTTATTAACAAGAACCACACATGTCTTGTTCGAATCAACTTCATGGACATATCCATCTAAGTCACTCGAATAATATAAAAGAGGCTGACGAGCATCGACCACCTGGACGACAACGTCGCTACGTTCCACGACACGCCATAGCTGACGCCAGAACTCCAGATTCCGCTCAAAAGGAGTAAGGACGATGCCATCCTTTTCTTCCAGCCTACAATACAAAGGATAGCTTAACAACTTTTCAAGATAATTCGAAAAGACCAAATGTTTATAATAAAAGTACCATAATCATCCCATACGTCATGTCCATGAACAGGTTTTCAAATAAGTCAGCCAGTCATCTACAACGTAGGACCAGGTACATATAGGCATCGGTCGAAGTTGCCATACCTCTTTTTTGGCAACTAATTTACGCTTGTTTATAATTAAATAAGCATCTTACGATAACGTTTCCTACTACTCAACAATGATGGGAATGTCCTATCCTGAGGTTAATAGGAAAGAGTAGCATTTATCAAGCTTGCTTCTCGGAAAAAGCTACACATTTTTAGGGGAAAACTGATAAATCCCGGTCTATAATAAGTAAGATAGACTCACAAAGCCAACGATCGTCTCCATTTCAAGAATTCTTCTTTTTCAAGATTATCCAACGTATAAACTGACATTTCTGAACTCCACTTAGGTCTGTAAGAAGCCAAATAAAACTAAACGATGAAGCCCTTTTATTTGGAAATAATCCTATACAAAACGACCTGAATATTAATAGGTTACTAAATAAATGAAGAATAAACTTTCTGGATGATTTTTTTGCCCGTAAGTGACATATATCGAATTATGAAAGCTTATTCATCGACTTAGTTATTCTCCAATATTTTTGTGGCGCAACATACCTAACAAAACAATTGTACATCATTAGTGATCCTTAGGCACTCACAAACATGTGTGGATCTTACCTCTACTTACTTAACAATCGATAGGAAGTTAAACTTCTAAAAACTAAACCAAACGGGAATCCCCTCAAGGCGACAACTCATTTTTCCTGTTACTTTACAATGACGAGAAATATTTTAGTAGCGTTAATTCTATCTAACGAGATAGATTTTATGAGATGTGAATCTAGTGAAAACATGATAATCAATCAATTAGGTTGATTTAAATGACAAGTTCAAAAACCATAGATTTCCTGATTACAAAACCTGAAAAACTCCACCTTCGGTTCCATGGTAGCTTTTGACTTAATGACATCATAATTCAGGTTCACGTTTGTTTACATGTACGCCGACATACGTCAACTATGATTCACCAATATTAGAAGGAAGTCTTTAAATCTGAATCGAGTAATCCAGGTTCGGCGATACCTTCAAGTAAACTTTAGTGCCCAACAAGCTATTTTGGAATATCCGAATTTGTTTCTCATATGGAACATTCCTCATTAGCTATAGACTACCTTGTGATACAATGTTACAAGTGAAGATTAGTTAGACTGAGTTGGCATCTACATTATGAACCTAAGGTCACGGCGCTAAGTTCGGTACCTGATGCTTACGTACGATCGGTTTACAGCGGATTTTAGGGAAGACGTGATAATTCAGCGTCTACAAGAGAAGTGATCAAAAGATTTTTGCGCGAAATTCAATTATCCATTTGGATAAATAGAGTTTTGGCATTATAGCTGATGTCCGTTCGTGATGAAAACCTCAAGTATAATTCCTAGCCTTAACCGTGAACTTTAAATCATAATTTAAATTCTTCACACTGGTTTATACCCTCATTTGGTCTTAGTTATTATGTTGACACTCAGTCACTCTAGCGTCTCCAAAAGGTCGTCCATAAACTACAGTCTCACCCTTAACCTTAACTCCAACCCTAAACCGTAAACGATACCAATATACCAACATTACTGAAGCTGTGGTCGAGGCTCAAAGAATTTTTGAGACCTTATCATGGTTTCAGAGGTCGACTACTATGGAGCCATATGGATGTGTTCCTGTACCGTATGCACTATGATTTTAGAACTTCTGAACCTATATCTGACCTTGAGAAGTTTTTGACTCATGTAAAAGAAGTGTTTTAACTTTAATTCTGGTTTTGTATAATGAATTTTTAATGTACACTGTCTTCTGATTGGCTAATATTTCTCAAGGTCATTTAAGATTCGTTCAAATCTCAGCAGCATAGTTTAGTCCTACCGCTTTTGATATATATATTTTTGGCCGTGAATATATACCCGACTGTAGGACTACACGAATAACCCGTGAAGTGTCACGTGTTTTTGGGTTTAGATAAATGTACAGTCGGGCATAAATTCACGGCCAAAAATATATATCAAAACCTAGTAGACCGAAAGCTAAGCATAACGACATATTTCTCGAACGCTTGTGCAAGAACCGGTTTTACATAATACCATGGTAGGAACAAGGCATGTAGATTCTGAGAAAGCTAACATGAGTTAAAAAGGTGGATATGCAAAAGAACCACTCAACACACACGTAAATAAACATCTACTTAACTTCTGGGTATTTTGAGAAAGTCTTTGTACATAACATGAACTTCTGAGATTTTAGAGCAGTCGGAGGAAGATGGTATGCCCATAATTTCGGATGAAGTGAGAAGCCTGATGTTCTTTTTCTCTGAAAATCATATGATGGGCATTAAAAGTCTTACGAGCCTTGAATTCATGGTTGGCAAGGTTGGCAATATTAAAGAATTCATCTAAACCTGTTTGTTCTGTGACTGAATGAACAGGTAAACGAGACCAATCCCCAGCAGTGTTTGTTCGAACTACATGACGCCCCTTTTTTATAGATATAACTGACTATAAGACTAACTGATCTTTCAGAAGACTCTGATCCAATATGTTTAACAAGAGAGCGTCCAAGACCATGTTTCCTGCCCATGTAGCGCAGCAACCTGAAATTACAACTCTTCAGAGGACGAATTAAATGTCAAATGGTTGTGGACGAGATAGAAGAAGCTTTCGCAGTGGATCAATAATGCCTCCAGGCAGGAACCTAGGTATATTAACGATGATAGAGGAAATAAAAAAGAAAATTGGCTGATCGTAATAAGGTGCTATTCTTAGTTCTTCAGGAATAGGTCAACTTTCCTCTTAAAGGACTCCTGCAAAGTCGCTTGGAATAGCTTAGTCGGCAGCGAACTCCAGTATTTGACAACTCTTAAAGAATAGAAGTTGTGTCTATTGTCCGTTCTGCTATATTCTGTCTCCAGTTCCTGGGTGTTACTTCTTGGGTTCGCATTGAGACTAAGCTTAAGTAGCTGATTACGGGGATGTCCAGAATTGTTAAGGATACTGTAAGCCATTAGAAGATCACCTCTAAGACTCCCATACTCAAACGGGTAAACGTTAAGTGATTGGAGGTGCTCTTCAAAGGGCTTTAATTTAAGTCCCCTAACTGATTTCGTGGTTCACTGTTGGATAGTATAGTATAGTCGATGTGGGTTGGTTGAAATGTGCGAGAGTATTGTTCAGCCAAAAGGTTGGAGGCAACACCGTCATTATTGGTCGGGCCGTTTGGACCTAGCAGTTGAGAGACTGTAGTTTTGGCTTGTCGAAGAGAAGCTGTATGACGGAATAAGGTTATCGGATTGACGACAAATTTATCGATAATCGTTATCTGGTACTGAAACCTGTCTTCTTTTGTTGCCTTTGTTCATGTGTTGCATGCTTGTATCGCCTGATGTCGTTGTCAGTTAGTTTGTATTCTGCCCAGCAGTGCTTTTTGCAGCATGGCAAACAAAGAGTGCAGTTCCCGATGACTGTAGGTTGCTTACAGTTTTTGGAGACCGTTTGAGGAACTGAGTTCTTTGTAGCACATAAGAGTATGTGTAGTAAGAAATCCCAAAGAGCATCCATGTCGCATTGAGGGTGACCATCCCAATCCACCTGTTATAGATAGTCCAGTAAAGTTGACAAGTTCAACCGTTTGAAATTCCAGCACTTGTTGTTTGTGGGATGTCGTAGCTCACTTTTGCTGACAAAACTGGAAGATATAATAATAATACTTTATTCTCAATTAACAGTTTCTTACATGTGGCATGCCGGTTTACAGGCAAGATCTGATTATTACATAAGTTACAACTTTCACTGTTGGAAATTACTCAGATGGGTTAATATTTTATAAGATATGAATGTAAATGGATTTCGTAAGAAACATGCCAATATCACACTTGGCGCACTTTATGGAGGTAGAGTTGCAACATACAGCTGATGGTCGAGAATAGATACATGCGAAGTTGGGGGGACCTTATATCCCTCCGGAATATCTGAGGCTTTAATAACGGTGTAATACGAAGTCACCAGTGCCATATCTGTTTTCGGTGGGGTATCTCCAGGGTGCTGAAAAAGGTATAAAAAAGGAAGGAGGAAAAGCAGAGCACACGATATTCATGTAGGAATAGTTAAGGTATAACCATTTAGTCTATTTGTCTGTTACTAAAGTACTTATTAGGTAAGCGCACACTAATGTGTTAGAGCAAAATAAGTGTGGGCAAGGTATTAGTGGATAAAGACTGTATAAATGTAGGTAGTTCAGAAAAAAGTATGGAATTGTGTAATTATAAAATAAAGTGCTGAAAACAGTATTCCTATACAAATGGCTGTCCCCCATTTTTTCGAAGCAGTTTGAACTTTGTTTTTTGTTTTTTGATTTTATAGGGTATGTAATGGGCTTCATTTTTAGCCAATTGTCTAGTTTGCTAGTAACGGCTTCTTGAGTGTTACGCGAAGTACCCTCGGGTGATTTTGATGATTATAGTCCTTTCCCTAAATGAGCTGTGTGACCATCAGAGGCTCTATTTTAGAAAGTTCGAGCGACTTGTTTAACTCTTCCAAGAGCATCATGTCATGTTTGTCCTGCAAACTGAGAGGAAGGCCAGGGCTGTATTTAAGGTTCATTATTATGGCGGAAGCATCACGAGATGTTATTGTTTTCCCAGGTTTTCCGGTGCGTTCAGGTTCAGCACCTTGTTGTTCGGAAGTGGAATTGATTCACAGGCTCTTTGATGACCCGATGGACATTCTTGGGGGTAGACTGTGAGGCGAAGTCAACAGTTGTTTTTCGAACAATACTTGTGATGTTCAGCCTAGTTAGTAACGCCTGGTCCTTTTTAACTCTGTTAACGTGGGTCCAATCACCTGCAGAGTTTTTGGAAGCCACTGTTGCATTCAAAGACCCTGTACTAGGAGACTCAAGTTTCTGAGGGAGTATATTACCGTCGATGTTATGATGGTGCTGAGTTTCAGTATGTCATCACTAGTGCTGTTGCATGCTCCATCAATAGTAGATCCGTCGACACCCCTCTTCTTGTTTTCATCACTTGCCCTTGTTTGTCTATCCGTTTTGTGGCTGCCTTTTGCCAAGTTTGCCGACAACTTATTCCGTAGACCTGCCAATAGGACAATCATGTTACTCGGAAAAAATAAAGCATCCTTGTTGCACATGACATATACTCACTTATGATCCGACTTGCTGAGACTATTGTAAGCAGTTTCTATAAGATCTCTGCACGCTCCATGGAACCAACCTTTGCGTTTGTCTCACTGCATACCCCAAACTATCCGTATGTTAAACTCTTTCCCATTGTTTGTTCGCTCAATTAATGCTTTTTGCTCCTCTGAAAATGCATTAAATGCTCTAGCGCCTGCAAGTGTATCTTACTCCACAAGTGAGATTATAGGAACTTTAAATGTTTAACTTCTTACTTGCTATCATTGTTATGTTGTTCCGTGCTCTTTGCTTTAATCTTACCTTCTCTAGTTGTAGATAATTAATAATAACTCGCTCTGGCACTGGTAATAACCTTACAGAATAATGTTTGTCAATCATCAGGCTATCCACTTGATGAAAAAATGACAAGTTCCCTGGTGTTGCATTGGCTTGCCGTGATATATGCCATATTTAAACTGTTTATCAATTACTAAACCAGCAAACATAAAACCTTATAATTCATGTTTGTTCTCTGCATTAAATGTTGATTTTTATAACAATCTGATCATGCCTGTAAACTGGTGTGAATTCTGTAAATATTATTTTCAGAATATATTATTATTATTATTATTATTATAGATGTAAAAGCAAAATGGCATCCAGGTCCTTTGCATGAATTTTTCATGACCATATTGCCGTAAACTGTTTTGTAGATGCTAGCAAAAGTCTAAGACCGTTAAAAATATACAGAACACTAAAAACGGATGAACATGGATAAAAATGGATTAGGTGAAACTAAAACTAGCCTTTACGTAAAAAAGTGAAAAAAGACCGAATAGTAAGCTCAAGCAAAACTACAATTAACTAATAAGTTAGTTGAAAATAGAAAAAATAATCTACCGAACGCAAAGCCTCTTTAGATCGGAAATGCTACTTTTGTCGAGTAAAAAACAGCAACATTTTGGGAAGTGCAAATCATGTTAGGACTAAATTTCCGGTTCGAAAAGCGCGCGCCACAGAGTTTGACCAACAGATCAAGATGTTTTTTCGGTATGGACCTAGATATATATGATTATCAGAACAGATGAAAGTTTTGCCAAGTAAGTAGGATGAAGTTTCATAATAAATCACTAAGAGTATATCGAGGGTAATGGTATTTGTTTTGGGAAAGACTGGCTCTTCATTTCTGAGATGTTTGGAATAATTCAAATCTTCACTCTTCAGTGGTAGGGATAAAAGGTTACTCTACATATATCGTTAATGTATGCTATCCATACAGGCTACGAGAGTGTGAGGAAACAGAAAATGAGTAGAAATCTAAGTTAATAAACTGAATAATGTACATAAACTCATAAGTGTATTTCCATCAATTAGTGGATAACTTTAGAAAACGACCTCGTGTGCATGAAAAATGGCGATTTAGATCTCTGGATATATATTCTTAGCATTCAGTCATTTTAGTGTAATATTTAACATTAATAACAAATCTATGTTATTCATCAGTTTTTTTGAAGTTTTAACTTTGCACCGTACTCCATGTGGCCTGAGATTTGTGCATGAACGTTCTAGTTAGATATGTACCGAAATGCATATGCAAATTGACACATTCAAATTATTTATCTATGAGTGAACGCAGTCTAAAAATCTTGCGTTGTTTACCAACTAATTCAGCATATGTAGCAAATCATTCCTGGACTACTAACCGTGCAAAATGAGCAAACTATCACTGAGATCTCACCAAAGCAGCCATGAAGCTGAACCATTGGTTATTAGACTGTAGATCACTATACGCTGAACAATCTACTGAATCTTATCAAGGTTAAGGATTACTTACTTACTTACTTTCGCGTGTTACTCCCAATGGAGCATAGGCCGCCGACCAGCATTCTCAACCCACTCTGTCCTCGGCCTTCTTTTCTAGTTCTATCCAGTTCTTGTTCATTCTTCTCATGTCTGTCTCTATTTCTCGACGTAATGTGTTCTTTGGTCTTCCTCTTCTCCTTTGACCTTCCGGATTCCATGTGAGGGCTTGTCTTGTGAGGCAATCCGCCTGTAGCTCCTCCGGGGTTGCTGCCGGTCCCAAGCCCGGGTAAAGGAGGAGGATTGGGCTTGGAGTTAGCGACCCCGTCCCGTAGAAAATCAGCTCTCTGAAAAAAACGCTAACCAGAAAAGTTTAAGGATGCCCAACGTAAATATATCAAGTTCACGTCAGAAACCAGCCCATTGAGCAGTTGGTTGAATTTGTACTTTTGTGATAATTAAAGGCATTTGTATTATATTAAAAACGAGTAATCTCAGAAACAAAGCAATTTAATCAAGAAGTATTAGATAGATACGAAAGAATGTATTGTATTTGGAATTCAAAATCAAGCAGTCATCAAGTACAAACGAATCATTGTTTCATGTAAACACCATATCCACCACAATTTGAATGAGGATCTTGATCTAGGTTTGTTCTCTGAGCTGGATGATT